TCTCCAGATTCGATATTCTCGTAAAACACTAGTTTAAATAGGAATATCAATTCATTATTCTCCACTAGCCCAAGTTCATGACGCAAGCGACTTAGGGAGCTGGAGATCTTGAGTGGATAAATCATAATATGACCCACATAGTATCCTGTATCTCACGTAGTATTCCATATCTCATGTAGTATCTCCTAATCTCTCTTAATCCTAAGGGTGGGGAGGGTCACCCACACAGGTGACCCTAAGGACCCTCACATGCTGAAGAGCCGCAGGAGGCCAATACTTAGCGGTCAAAATCACTTAATTTGGCCATCCAAGAACTAGTATATTTGGTATTATTCAAAGGGTAAAAGTAAGGATTTAGTGGCAAGAGAGGTGAATGGGCCATAAATCACTGAAGCTGACCTGTAACTTCAAAGATATCCTTCCAAAAAATATTCCAATAGCCGCTCGTGAATACATCTGTTAAATATATATATTTTCACCAGCGCTATGCGCATGGTTTTCAACAGCTTTCATAGTTCACCCTTTTCGGCAGAATCACTCAGGAAGCTATTTGTTTACTTTGCATTATTTATACCTTCACATGGCTCTTCAAGATAAATACCTTTGAATGAAGTAATGTCCTCTTCTCTTTTTCCTAGTTTAGATGTTCATCGAGTACATTCCTTCTACAGGAACTAGCTATCATAATACTATATCCAAGGACTAATGTATATTGACTATGTAATGGTAACTTACATATTATCACTTATAATTAATATAATCTTAAAAATTTTGATCAGAAGTAATATAAATCAGAGAGATTTTGTAGGAAGCTATTATGTGAATTGATTCTAGGGCTCATACAATACCTATCATCCGAAGTAGCAGAACAGGAGTAACATGTTACGGTGTAAATAACAGGTCTGTATTAAGATTAATCATCATTTTTATGCATCCAAATCGGGTAAAGCGTGGGAATTTTTATGAAAATGAGGGTCGACGAGGGTCCTTGAGGGTCACCCACACGAGGTCTGGCGAGGGTCGAGGGTCGGGTGAGGGTCGCGAGTGTTATACCCGCCCCTCGCGAGGGTCGGGTGGAGGGTCCAACCTTTGGACCCTCATGAGGGTCTGGGCGAGGTCTAAAGCTATCAAAGTTTACCAAGAAACGCCCGCGACTGAACCGACTGAGCCGAACGAACCTGACCATCCGCGCCCCAATTTCGTCTTCCCGGAGACTATATCTTGGTCTGACATTATAAGTCTCTGCTACCAAGCCTTATAAAGCATCTACTTTTACTTTGCCGGAGCTTCAGACCCTTTGTCTCAAGACATCAAGATAAATCTGTGCCAATCCAAATCATGCGTCTGCTTGATACAGGCAGTTTCAAGATCAAAGAATTCACAGATGATAGCATCCCGCGATACGCTATCCTGTCACATACTTGGGATGAAAAAGGGGAAGTTACTTTTCAGGATATGAACGGAACCGATGCAAAGAACAAGAATGGATATGACAAAATCAAACGGTGCTGCTTAACAGCTAAAGCCAATGGGTTCCAGTATGTTTGGATAGACACTTGTTGCATCGACAAGACAAGCAGTGCGGAGCTGTCTGAAGCAATCAACTCCATGTACCGCTGGTACCAAGGAGCTGAAATATGCTACACATATCTTGCCGACGTACAATCAAAAGATGAAATCCAGAAGAGCAGGTGGTTTACAAGGGGATGGACCCTTCAGGAGCTAATTGCCCCGTTGAAAATGATATTCTTTAATGAGGAATGGAAAGAACTGGGGGAAAAGGCAGACCTCCAACAGGATGTGTCTGACTATACAGGTATACCTGTTGGTATTCTCTCAGGCAAGGATGACCTTGAAACATCTAGTGCTGCACAAAGAATGTCCTGGGCAGCAAGAAGAAAAACATCAAGAATTGAGGATCAGGCCTATTGTTTGATGGGCTTGTTTGGTGTCAACATGCCACTGATCTATGGTGAAAGAGAAACTGCTTTCATCAGACTTCAGGAGGAAATCATGCGGATCTTGGATGACCACAGCCTCTTTGCATGGAAGTCCACTGACAATCGCAGCGGACTTCTTGCCACTTCCCCAGCTGCATTCAAGGACTCCCATGACATTGTCCAGTTCAGTCTTTTTGATACCTCTGACAACCCTTTGACTGTGAGCAGTAGGGGGATTCATTTGGACCTCCGCCTTATAGGCACAGGTCATCGAGGATTCGGGCTCGCAATTCTTCATTGTAAAAAGAAAGGAAGGGAGAATAAGCCAATTGCGATCTATGTGAGAGATTTACTCTTTACAATGCAGCGGTTTAAAAGGGTTCACAGTAAAGACTTCAAACAGCTTGATCTGAGGAAATTTGTACCATCACAATATCCTATTAGAAGAATATGTGTTGAAGCTGGTCGCGCAACACGCACAGGGAAACTGAATGTTGAGAAATGGGACAATATCTCCCCAGACCAAATCTACTCCGACGATGCTCTCGAAAACCTAAAAAATTTTAAAGATCCAACAGCACTATCGCGTGCAGCAGCAGAAGGAAATGAGGGCATTTTATGGTTGCTGCTGACACGTAGTGATGTTGGGGCAGACATGAAGGGAAAATGGTCTAATCGGACATCCTTGTCATTGGCTGCTGAGAATGGGCATGAAGCCATTGTCAAGCTGCTGCTTAACAGAGGTGCTGCAACCGAGTTCAAGGGTGAAAATGGTCAGACACCACTATCCTGGGCTGTTGAGAATGGACATGAAGCCACTGTCAAGCTACTACTTGACAGAGGTGCTGCAGCTGAGACAAAGGATCTATATGATCGAACACCACTATTCCGGGCTGTTGAGAATGGGTATGAAGCCA